CCCTGCCCGCCCACATCTACCGCCTGGACCGGGTCCCGGGGCGCCGCCCCCTTCCCGCTCTGTACCCCGCACCTGATGGCCCGCTCCCAGGCCGCGCGCCCGGCTCCCCCCGCTGCCCCTGCTCCTCGGTGACATTGCGCGGCTCAGTCAGTGCCCCGCTCCCCGCGCTTCCTCACCCCGACGGAAGCCACTCAAGGACCGGAGTGGCCCACCGCACGGCGTTCCCGATTCTCCTACAGCTCGCACTCCTCCAGCGCCGACGGTAGTGCAAGACCTTGCTCCAGGGGCCTCCTCCACTGGGGCATTGCCGGGAAGAGCAAACAAAAAGGCGCTGGTGTAGGCTCCAAAACACACACATCTGAATTCAGGATGGCATCGACAGAGGCTCTTACTGGATTAAAAGTTGTCAAACAAACAAAAACGCTTTGGAAAAAGGTCAGATTGGCTACAGTTGGTTCTTGAAAACAGTGTATGCACTTCCCTATTTAACTGACCGGTGTGTTGTGAATGCCGGGCAGTCCTGTGAGCTTGTCAGATAAATTCCTGAAGTTTCAGGTCTTCGGTAACTATGTAATGTCCTAACTTTACAGATAAATGGAAACACACTGGGCTCCATTTAGTGTCTTCCCAGTGGGGTTTATATAAAACTACTCCCAACCATGGAAAGCTGTTGGATGCGATTATAGGCTTAGTGTTTTTAAAACCTTTTAATGTAAAAATACTGGCCATACTTGGTAAATGCTCTATTTTATTTTTACCAGCTTTGGGGAACTAAATGGCAGAATCAAAGTGCCATCCCCACCCTGAAATTTCCAACTTTGAAATTAGATTATTTAGATAGGGGCAGGTATACCTACCTTTTCCTAATTCTGAGAGTGAACATCAAGTCTCCTCATCTCGGTTGAGTCCTGTGGCACTTTTCCTAGAGTTTGCCTCGAGTCCTAAATCTCAACCCTTTTTGTGGGGGCTCCGGCGCATCCTTTAAAATAATGGCTTGCATTCCTGTGGGATAGTAGTGACTTTGTAAAATAATAAACTCACCCAAGTAGTAAAATATTAAGAAGAGGCATATCTCATCAACCTATCTGTGCATAATCACATTTATTCAAAAACTTATTTTCTCCAAGAAAAAATTGTCATAGGATTTTATATTCAGTGCAAATACCTTATGATTAATGCTTAAAAAAAAACCTCTCAACTGCTTACCCCCTCTCTGTTCTGTTGAACTCTGTTTTGATGTTGCATAGCTTATTAGTAAGGAAAGTGTGGGTATAGCTTGAATTTTTAGAAATCTAACAATCACTTTTGTGTGTGTGTGTGTTTGTGTGTTTAATATATTTGTATTGATTTCAGAGAGGGAGAGGGAGTGGGAGGTAGAAATATCAATCATGAGAGAGTATCATTGATCGGCTGACTCCTGCACGCCCCCTACTGGGGATCAAGCCCACAACCCCACATGTGCCCTTGACCAGAATCAAACCCGGGACCCTTCAGTCCACAGACCTATGCTCTATCCACTGAGCCAAACCTGCTAGGGCTAACAATCACTTTTTTGGGTTTAATGGTGTCTTGCTGTGAAACCTAGACTGAAAAAGCCTGTTGGTTTTTCTATTCCATATCTAAACATAAGGCAGGTGTCTCTTTTTACTGGGGGATTTTGAAATTTTGCCAAATGATGTTTTTAAACACATTTAAACTGGAAAGCATGAGGGGCATACAATTCTAATTGTTCATGAGAATCCGGTTTCCTCTTTCGCAGGGTTGAATGCCTGCCTACACCCTCAGGCCCCACCATGGAGAAGGGTGGTAACATACAACTGGAGATCCCTGACTTCAGCAACTCTGTCCTGAGCCATCTAAACCAGCTGCGCATGCAGGGCCGGCTCTGCGATATCGTGGTCAACGTGCAAGGACAAGCTTTTCGGGCTCACAAAGTGGTACTGGCCGCCAGCTCTCCCTATTTCCGGGATCACATGTCCTTGAACGAGATGAGTACTGTCTCCATTTCGGTCATCAAGAACCCCACTGTTTTTGAACAGCTCCTGTCTTTCTGTTACACAGGGCGGATATGCCTGCAGCTGGCAGATATCATCAGCTACCTGACAGCTGCCAGTTTTCTGCAAATGCAGCATATTATAGACAAATGCACACAGATCCTAGAGGGCATTCATTTCAAAATTAACGTGGCTGAGGTCGAAGCAGAATTAAGTCAAACGAGGACAAAGCATCCAGAGAGACCCCCGGAGTCTCACAGGGTTACACCAACTCTAAACCGCTCCCTTAGCCCACGGCAAAATGCCCCAAAGGGTAGCCGGCGAGGTCAGGTTAGTGCTGTGCTGGACATCAGGGAGCTCAGTCCTCCCGAGGAGTCCACCAGCCCTCAGATCATTGAACAGAGTTCTGATGTAGAGAGCCGGGAGCCTATTCTTCGGATCAACCGAGCAGGACAGTGGTACGTCGAGACAGGAGTAGCAGACCGAGGGGCGCGGAGTGATGATGACGTGAGGGTTCTTGGGGCAGTACACATCAAAACGGAAAATCTAGAGGAGTGGCTGGGGCCTGAGAATCAGCCCTCTGGAGAAGATGGGAGCAGTGCCGAGGAAGTCACAGCCATGGTGATTGACACCACGGGCCATGGTGCCATGGCACAGGAAAATTACACTTTAGGATCTTCAGGAGCCAAGGTGACTCGGCCAACAAGCAGTGAGATTGACAGGTAAGTTTTGTTTTGTTCGCCCATCTAACAGCTGTTGTACAGACATAACTAAAGCGGGCCCCCTGTGTGGTACAGAGAGCTTCTTCCTTCCTTGATGCTCTTAGCCAAAATAAGTTTATGTTGGGGAAACTGGAGGTGTGCCAAAAGACTTGCATTCTTAATTTTTTAAAGCAGGGAGCTCCTTGCCCTGGCCAGTGTGGCTCAGTTGGTTGAGCGTCATCCCATGCACCAAAGGTCACTGGTTTGATTCCGGTCAGGGCACATGCCCAGCTTTCAGGCTCAATCCCCAGTAGGTGGTATGTAAGAGATAGCCAATTGATGTTTCTCTTTCATTGATATTTCTCTCCCTCTCCCTTCCTCTCTCTCTAAACATCAATAAAAACATTTTTAAAAAATAAAAATAAAGCAGGAAGTTCCTAGTCCTGAAGAATTCAGTGTTATGAGAACTATGGTAAAATTAGAACTTCCATGAATCAGAATAGCATCTGCAGCCACACTATATCAGTAATTAGCAAGGCTTTCTTGGAATTTCAGGTAGAGGGCTGGTCATCAGCTGGGAACCTGGCAGGTTTGCCCTTCTTCCTTGTGTTATCACCCAGGTAGGTGGTGTCAGGGGAGTTTTACTTGCCTTTGTAGTGCTGTTTACTTTTCTTTGCTTCCTACTTACCAAGTTAGAAGGGGTATGGTACCAGCAGTAATTGTTCTTTTTAAATTTTTGTAATCACAATGCAGTTATTCCAAAGAAAAGCTTTGGGCATGGTTTTTATTCCTTTCTTCACTTGTCATTTGATGTCTTCCTTTTGTCTTTCATTGGTGACTGCTATCACAGGTCCAAGAGTCTGTTTTTTCACCAGTGCTACTAGGTCCCAGGGCTCCCGTTTCTCTTTCTAATGGTAATTAGAGCATTTCTTTTTGGTGGAGATAGCAATAGTTTTAATTTAAGTAAATTTAAAGAAACTTTCAGTTGAAAGTATTGTCCTGGCTGGTGCGGCTCTATTCTTCTGGTTGGGCATCTTCCCATGCACTGAGAGGTTGCAAGTTCAGTTCCTTGTCAGAGCATTTGCTTGGATTGCGGGCTTGATCCTCTGTAAAGGGCGTATGGGAGGCAGCCCATAGATGACTCTCTCTCATCCATCTTTCTCTCTCCCTCTCTCTCTTCCTCCCTCTCTCTAAAAATCATTAAAAACAACATTTTTTTAAAAAGAAAGTATTACCAACTTAGATTGATTATATATGTTCTTTTTCCCCTTTTAAAAATAAATTAAAATTGATTGCATGGACAATGAAAATTTAAAAAGTTATAACGGTTGGTTGATACCTGGTCTTACAAATTTCTAAAGTATATATTGTATCCAGCTCAGGTAGTCTTGATTTGGCTATTTTCCTTCTTGTGTTCTTAATAGTTAAAATATTCTTGAGCACAATACTTATTGCCACCCCTCCCCCCATGTTAGTACTGTATCAGAAGTAATAGCTTAATGCAAAGACTGAATCTCCATGATCTACTCTATCAAAAGTCTGAAATATATAACAAGTTATGTTAGGGCCTAAAGGAAGGAACAACCAAAAACCTAATGGTTACATAGAAGACAAAATTATAAACCCAGTTTTAATTTATTCTTTTATGGCTCCCAATAGTTACATAAGGATAGAACTTACATTTAGCTTTAGCTTCCCCAGGTCATATGGTCTATTTCATATGTAATTCTGTATTTCTTAAAAAAACAAAAAACAAAAACCTTTCTTGTCTTATTTCAAATCAGATCCTATTATTGACTCCCTGAATTGCTTTTTTCTTTTTTTTTTTAAATTAAATCTTTATTGTTCAGATTATTAAACTCCCTGAATTTCTTAGTCATCTGTTGTTCAGTTTGTTCCCCTTCTCTCAGCCATGGGATAAAGAGGATAAACATCACCATTTTTTAAGTTCCTTGACACTGCTCTTCTGTTAGTCCCCTTTTGCTCCTCTTCCGACAGATTTAGCCCCTCCGGCAGTGTTGTCCCCTTGACGGAGAGACACAGAGCCCGAAGTGAGTCTCCTGGGAGAATGGATGAGCCTAAGCAGCCCAGCTCCCAGGTATGTAGTTGTGATGGCTGAAGCAATTGCCACTGTGTGTGAATCCGACAGGAAAGATATAGGAGAGAGAACAGGGACCCTGTTAAAGAAATATTCTCCTTGATTACTTTTTTCTTTATTCCTGTTTGCAAGCATGCAGGAAATGCACTTTTGGTGTCAGCTGAGTTTGGGAAATAGAAAAGATGAGATTGCAGAACTCTTTTCTGAACCAGTCTTTAGTCCTGAGAGTAGAAATAAAAAAGTGACCCCTGAAAAGTACATGCAGGAAATACAGGACCTGAGATGGAGAGCCTGATTCTGTACATGTGTGGTGGGTATAACACTACATAATTACTACTTTATGTAATAGAAAATATTTGTACACAGCTGCTTTTGCATTTTTATATGCTTACATCTTTTCATTTATTTTCTCCTGAATCTTTTGTTAGACTAAAATGTTTTAGAGAAGATAGGAATTATGTCTTCTTTTTTCTTTGCAATTCTCCTTAGCAAGTAGCATAAGTAGTTGGTTGATATTATTGTTTGTTTGTTTTTCCTCACAGGTCTCTATCATTGAAGATTTATTTGTAAAAGGACAGTAGAACTCACCAAGTAGAACTTAATACGTTGTAAACACTTTTGTCCTTTGAAAGAAAACACTGGTGGACTAAGATTGCATAGCTAATTTTTTTAGCTTCTGCATTATACTGGTAGTATTTTGTTTAGTTTTTACTTAAACATTGGACATTTATTTAGTGTGTATATATGATAATAACAGCAGCAAGACATTGTTAGAAACTACATTTACTTGCATGTTACCATGCCAGTTTTTCGGTACCAGAAAAGGAATTGTAACTAATAATAAGGTGTTAGAGAAAATATTAGGAGCTTGGAGGGAAAGTTTCCTCTTAGTATGAGGGCCCTTTTTCTCTCATCTTTCAAAAGAATGTGATGACTATGTGAAGGTAACTATGATGCAAATAAATACGAGACAGACCTTATAACTTAATGGGGGCATAAGGCAGACTAACACATACACAAAACAGATATAGATGAGACTATATAGACCTCATTAACAGTGTTGTGGGACTAGAGTGCTTAAAAGGCAGTTACTGGAATCAATAACCACTTAAAGAAAGTGGAGAATTTAAGTGCAGTATTTAATGAAGTGGTTAGAAAGAGGTAACTTACTGCATATGTAGATATAATAGGGATAACAATTGGAATTCTACAAGTATGTTTACCCGACTAAAGCAGAAGGTGCAGACTATAAAGAAATAGAAAATAAATAATATTGTTTGGAGATGATATTAAGAGATGAGTTAAGCCGAAACTGGTTTGGCTTAGTGGATAGAGCATCGGCCTGCGGACTCAAGGGTCCCAGGTTCGATTCCGGTCAAGGGCATGTACTTTGGTTGCGGGCACATCCCCAGTGGGAGATGTGCAGGAGGCAGCTGATCAATGTTTCTGTCGCATCGATGTTTCTGATTCTCTATCTCTCTCCCTTCCTCTATTTAAAAAAAAAAAAGAAGAAAAAAAAGAGATGAGTTAAGCTCTAACTGGTTTGGCTCAGTGGATAGAGTGCATGTACCTTTTTTGTGCGCACACCCCCAATAGAGGGTGTGCAGGAGGAGCTGATATAGATGTTTCTCTCACATCGATGTTTCTAACTCTATGCCTCTCCCTCTCTGTAAAAAATCAATGAAATATATTTTTTTTAAAAAGAGAGAGATGAGTTAATATGACATGTGTGAGAGTTTAGATGATGCAGATAAATGAACATTTCTATCGAAGTACCCACCTGATTATCTAGATATAATTGTAGATTAGAATTCAAGAGGATGGTATGAGTGGGCCCAGATTCTTCTCTTGCTGTACAATAGATCATTTAGTGGGGGTTCCATGAAAAGCGTGCAGTTTTTCAGCCAGAAAGTAACTTGACTTTCTTGTTCTGTTATGGTAACGGAATACAGTGTTCTCATTTTTTTTTTTAATTGTTATGTTAACAACTTTACTTGTGGGTAGTAATTTCCTGTTTGGATCTCTAAAATCAGCATAAAGCTTAGTAACAGAGGTAAAAGTAGATTTGATTTATTTTACTATTCACAGTGTATGTTCTTTTGTGCTTGTTTTCCTCACCTGGCACAGGTAGAAGAATCAGCAATGATGGGAGTAAGTGGCTATGTGGAGTATCTTCGAGAGCAAGAAGTATCTGAGCGGTGGTTCCGGTACAACCCCCGTCTCACCTGCATCTACTGTGCCAAATCTTTCAACCAGAAGGGGAGCCTGGACCGGCACATGCGCCTGCACATGGGGATCACACCGTTCGTCTGTCGTATGTGTGGCAAGAAGTACACCCGCAAAGATCAGCTGGAGTATCACATCCGCAAGCACACAGGCAACAAGCCCTTTCACTGCCATGTTTGTGGCAAAAGTTTCCCCTTCCAGGCCATCTTGAATCAGCACTTTCGCAAAAACCACCCTGGCTGTATCCCCCTGGAGGGGCCTCATAGCATCTCCCCTGAAACAACTGTCACATCTCGAGGACAAGTCGAGGAAGAGTCACCTTCACAAGAAGATACAGTTGCTCCTGGGGAAATTGCCCAGGGCTCTGTGTCCACCACTGGGCCAGATTGAAACATCGAGGGGGAGGGGGCAGACCCTCTTCCCCATTGGGCCGTAAGCAGCCAGCATCAGGGCCATGGGCTGGTACTTCGATTCACAAAATGCCACATCACT